AGAAAAAGAACAGATCACCTATGAAAGAAAGCCCATCAATACCACGGCAAATTTCTCAACACAACCTATCAAGTCAAGAAGAGCTTGGAGTGAAATAATGAATGTCCTTAAAGAAAACAATTTCCAATCCAGATTGATGTAACCTGCAAAACTATCTTTCAAAATTAATGGAGAAATAAGATACTTCCACAACAAAGAACAAATGAAGAAATTCGTGATGACCAAACCAACCTTGCAAAGAGTACAAGGTATTCTGGAAAGAGATAAATATGACCGCAACTTCAAGAAAAACAGTACAAGGAATCACGAAGCAGAGCAAACAACTAAGCAGAGGGGAAAGATAAGAAACCAACAATAGGAAAATAACATCCTAAAGATAAGCCAATACATATCAGTTTAAATCATCAGTGTAAATGGTCTCAATTCACCAATCAAAAGAAGCACACAAGCAGAGTAGATCAAGAAAAAATTCTCAATAATATGCTTTATACAAGAAATACATTTAACTCAAAAGAAAATTCATACACTGAAAGTTAATGGATGGAAAATAATACTCCATGTGACAGGAACCCAGAAAAAAGTAGGGTTAGCTATTCTCTTTGCAGACAACTTCAAGCCAAGAATGATCAAAACAGATAAAGAAGGTCACTACATATTTGTTAGGTGAAAACTGCAAGAGGAAGAGTAAACAAACTTAAATATGTGGGAGCACCCAGCTATATAAGACAAATATTAGCAGACATAAAAAATAAAATAAGCAAAAACACAGTCATAACTGGGGATTTTACCATCACATTGTCACAGAGAAGTAGATTAACTGGACAAAAAATCAGCAAAGAAATAATAGAACTAAACCAAACTTGTCAACAAATGGACTTCCTATACCTTTAGAAACTGTTCTGAACAACACCATCAGAATAGAGATTCTTCTCAGCTATGTATGGATCATTCTCAAAAATAGACCATATGCTAGCACATAGAACATGCTTAAGTAAATACAAAGGAATTGAAATTATACCATGTATAATATCTGACCATAGTGCAACGATATTGAAAATTACTGAAAAAAGAAACCACAAAAGCTTCATAAATGAGTGGAAATTAAATAATACCCACGTGAACAGGCAATGGATCACAGTTGCAGTTAAAGAAGAAATTAAACAATATTTACAAACAAACAAAAAGGAGTTACAATTGACCGAAACCAGTTACAATTGACCGAAAAATAATACTTTTCTTTTTATGCAATGAACACAGCCATAAAAGGGAAATTTATAGCTGTGAATTCTCACATCAGGAATATAGAATGAGCAGAAACAAACAACATTATACTACAACTCAAACATGTAGATAAACAAGAGAAAGTCAAGCCGAAAGCCCAAAGGACGCAGGAAATTATAGATCGAAGCAAAAATTAATGCAAGTGATATTAATAAAACAATACAAAGAATTAATGAATCAAAGAGGTGGTTATGTGAAAGAATAAATAAAACTGATAGACCCCTTTATCAAATAAGGAAAGAGAAAATTCAAATTCAGGAAATAAGGAATGAAAAGGGTGAAATCATTATAAATCCTATAGAAACACAGAATATCATCCATACCTACATTGAAAATCTTTACTCTCACAGGATGGAAAACACAGAAAAAATGGACAGATGCCTAGATACATATGAATTACCACAGCTGAATCAAGAAGATATGAAAATCCTTAATAACCATACATCAGTCAATGAAATTTAAAATGTAATTTTAAAAAACCCTTACCAACAAAGAAAAGCCCATGTACTAATGGATTCACAGCTGAGTTCCACAAGAAATTTAGAGAAGATTTAACAACAATTCTTTTCAAACTCTTTAATAAGTTGAAAGGGAAGCAATTTTGACTAACACGTTCCTAAAGGCAAGTATTACCCTAATACCAAAACCAGAGAAACATCCAACCAAAAAAAGAGAACTAGGCCAATTTCTCTAATGAACACAGATGCAAAAATCCTCAATAAAATACTAGCATACACACTGCAGCAAAACATCAAGAAGCTTTACAACATAACCAAGTAGAATTCACCCCAGGAATGGAAGGATGGTTCAATATACACAAATTAGTAAATGTAATGCACCATATCAACAGAGTCAAAGATAATAATTGTCTGATCATCTCAATAGATGCAGAAAAAGCTTTTGACAAAGACAAACACCCATTCTTGTTTTTAAAAAAAAACACCTACATAAAATCAGAATAGATGGTCTTTACCTCAGTCTGATAAAAGTCATCTATGACTAAACAACAGTCAATACCATTCCAAATGAACAAAAACGGAAATCTTTCACTTTAAAATCAGGAACAAGACAAAGAAGTCCATTATCAAAAATCCTATTCAACATAGTTCAGGAAACATTAGCCAGAGCAATAGGAAAAGAAAGAAAAATAAGAGGAATAATGACTGGAAAGGAAGAAGTGAAGTTATCTTTATTCAGAGATGACATGATACTTCACATGGAAAACCCCAAACACTGCACCAAATGACTTCTAGAATTAATAAACAAATAGCAGCATTGCTGGATACAAAGTCAACACTCAAAAATCAATAGCATTCCTATACAAAAATAAGAAATGCACTAAGAGAGCAATTAGGGAAAAAACACCTTTCACAACACATGAAGAAATGAAATACTGAGGAATTATTCTAACAAAGAGATAAAAGATCTATACAGTAAAAATTACAGTACTCTGAAAAAAGAGATTGAAGAAGATTATAGAATATGAAAACATATTCCTGTTCATGGAAGGAAAAGCAACATTGTGAAAATGGCCATACTCCCAATCAGTATTCAACACAATCTTGATTAAAATACCATTAGTGTACCGCACAGATCTAGAGAAAATATTTCTAAAATTCATTTGGAACAAGAAGAGGCCTAGAATAGCAATGGAAATCCTGGGTAAAAAGAAAGTCAGGTGGCATCACAATCCCTGACTTGAAATTATGCAACAAAGCTACTGTGAAGAAATCAGCATGGTACTGGAAAAAAAGCAGACCTGAGGATCAATGGAACAGATTGGAAGATGGAGACAAAATTACAAACACACTCAGCCACTTTATCTTTGAAAAGGAGTCAAATATGTTCACTGGAAGAAAGATAGCTTCTTTAGTATATGGTGGTGGAAAAACTGCCTTTCCACATGCCAAGTCTAAAATTAGACCCATGTATATCACCATGCACGAAAATAAAGTCAAAATGGATCAAAGATCTAAATATTAAAACAGAAACATTAAATCTACTGGAGGACAAAGTAGTTAGAAATCTTAAAGATGTAGGGGTCTGGGGCTGGGGATTTAGCTCAGCGGCAAAGCGCCTGCCTGGCAAGCGCAAGGTCGTGAGTTCGGTTCCCGTACCGGAGAAAAACAACAACAACAAAAAAAAAAGATGTAGGGGTCAGCAGAAAGTTCATGAACAAAAACCAAACTGCATGAGAAATTCTTCAAAGAATCAACGACTAGGATCTCATCTTACTGAAAAGTTTTTGCACATCAAAAGAAATCACCAACAGAGTGAAAGGAAAACACATGAATGGGAAAAAATTTTAGCCAACTCTCCCTCAGACAAAAGACTTCTATCTAAAACATATAAGAATTTTTAAAAAATCAGACCCCCCAACTTCAAAGAGCCATTAAAAAATGAGTATCTGAGATGAATACACACTTCTCACAAGAAGAAATACAAATGACAATTCAATATATGAAAAAATGTTCAACATCATTAGTCATTGGAGAAAAGAAAATTAAAGCAACACTGAGATTCCATCTCACTCCAGAAAGAATGGCTATCATCAAGAAATCAATCAATAACAAACACTGCTGAAGCTCTCCCCTTCTCCACTGTTGGTGGGTGTGTCGACTGGTGCAACCACTATGTAAATCAGTGTGGAGTTTCCTCAGAAAACTAAGATTAGAGGTCCCATTCAATCCAGCTATTCCCTTTCTGCATATTTTTCCAGAAGAATAGAAAGGATCATACCACAGTGATAAATGTGAATCCATGTTTATAGAAATACAGTTTTCATATCTAAATCTTGGAAAACACACAAATGCCCATCAACTGACGACTGGACAAGAGAGATGTGATATATTTATATAATGGAGTATTACTCAGCTATAAAAAATGATAAACTCGAGGCTTTTATATGAAAATGGATGCAATGAGACCGTGTTCATGTCATATAAATCAGACATGCATGTATAAATATTGTATTGTCTCCCTAGTGTAAGAACCTGAAAGAGTAAGTAAAACTCAAAAGTAACACTAGATACTGTGAAAGGGAAAGAAATAGCTCAAAGGGAAGGAAAAACTGGGATGAGGGAAAGGAGAAAAGAAAGAAAGAATGAAGCAAAATATACAGACATACAAGAATAGCTGGAATGATTGTACTACTGATATCTATTGGTTTATTGAAGGAACAGTTAATGCTTAAATTTTTATTTTTTTGACCAATTTTGCATTTTATATCTGGTAATCTGAGCAACTAATTTGAAGACAATACTATGCAATATAACAACTACTGTTGAATCCTTACTGTCTTGATTAGTGAAACTCTGTATTGTTTCTAATGTTTTTCATTATATTTAATTCTCTGTAATTGTTTGATCAGTGTGGCATTCTTACATCTGGTAATCTGATCAGCTTCATTGATGATAACAATATGTACTATAACAATCATGGTTAACTTTTTATCACATTGTTTTGAAATTCTGTATCATTTTACGTGTTTTTGTGTTGTGTTGGTTTTGTCTTGGTTGTTGTCATTTTGTTTTCCTTACTCTTTAAAATAAATAAATAAATACATAAAAGAAAGATTTAGAGCCCCACAGGAAAAAACAGAAAGCCCACCAAGCAATGAAATGGAGTTTTATACTTGTTTCTGTTGTTACCGGTTTGCAATCTCATGTTGAATTTGGGAATGTCAACCCTGAGGTGCAAGATAAAAGAAACAAGCTTACCTTGGGAATGTTATAGTTTCTGAATTGAAGGTCACGGGTCACCGCATGGGGCAAGCTGGTGGGAACGAGGTCAATGTATCTCTGCACCTCATGCAGCACAGCATCTGTATATGGCATGTGGCTCCTGTCCTGCATGCAGGGGCTCCGGTGCCTGCCAATCACACGGTCAATCTCTTCCTGGACCTTAACTGGTAAGACACGAGGAAGAAATGTCAGAACAAAAGGAAAATGATACATTTTTCATAGCAATTTAGTAATATCTGAAACAAGATGAGAGTGACCCAACAGCATTATAAATAAGTTATATTCCCTGAGGTATATTTAGACTTACAGGGAGGTTTGGCAAAATGTGGAAACAGCACTTTCTTGCAAACTAGTTCTCATGATTAATGAGGAAGAAGTACCATGCATGATATCTAATATAAATAGAATAAATTCAATGTTTCAAAATACATATAAAAAATGACAAGGAATTACAGTTCTTGTAAAACAATACTCCGGATTCAAATATTAAATTTACCTCAAAATAATGGATAGGTTTTAAAATTAAAATGTAATTGATCTATACATACGTACAGGAGTAGCATGTGTAAAAAATTTCACATTTATCCTCCTCCTAATTCTCAAATTTGGATATGAGCATTCTATTAGCTGCTTCTGAAAATTATAATCATAATTCTAAACAAGGATTCAGTTTCTTATTAATTTGTAGAAAATATTTATCAATTTGTTGGCATAAAAGATGAGAGATTTCTATCTGTTTCATATATCAGCACATATCAAGTCTGGAAAGTATTTTATTTTTTGTTTTTGTTTTTTTTTAATTTTTTTTTGATACCAGGAATCAAAATCAGGACATTTTGCTTGTCACGCAGGTGCTTGTGTCACTGAGCTATACCCTGGCCCTGTATTTTAAACACAAACAGATACAGAAACATACATTCACGCACAAGGCTTCTGCTAATTATTGACCAGAATATATTAGGTAATAATGCTGATTACCCCAAAATTCTTTTTTTAAATTTTTTTATGTTAGAAGTAAAAGAACAAAA